AGGATTTGAACACAAATTTTGTCTAAGACTTTTGTATGCTAACTTCAAGAAGAAGTTTGGAGGAGGAACATTATTTAGAGATCTCGTGATGGTTGCATTAAAGGTAACTTATTTTGAAGTGCGTGAAACTAACATGCTTCAAATCAAGTAGGTCAGTTTGAAGGCATATGAATGGTTAGAGGCTTTTCTCAAAACTAAATGGTGTAAGCATTATTTTCCTTTTTATTCTAAGTGTGATTTCCTAATGAACAATATAAGTGAATCTTTGAATGCAACTATTTTGTTACAAAGGGATAAACCGATAATAACCATGTTTGAGTGGATAAGGAATTATATTCTAGGAAGGTTTGCCATACTTAGGGAAAAGGTAGGTAGGTATAAGGGGGAGATAATGTCTAAATCACTTAGGATATTAAATAGATAAATTGAAAAAAATGTTAGTTGAGTTGCAACATATGCAGGTAGGCTAAATTTTCAAGTTACACATGTCCTGTTTACTGATAACTTTGTAATAGACTTGGTAAAACAAACCTACTCATGCAATTACTGCGGTTTGGTGGGGATACCATGTAAACATGATGTGGTTGAAATCCTTAAGAAATTAGATTATCCCATCAAGTATGTGCATAAATTCTATCATAAGAGCACATATGAAAAATGTTATAATGAAGTGATCACCCCCTTAAATAGTCAAAACAAATGGCCTAAGACCTCTGATCCTATGATATTGCCTCCCATGTTAAAACGTGGCCTAAGAAAGGAAAATAAACTTTGCAGAAGAGAACTAAATGAGGCAAACTAAACAAAATGGCAAAGAACAAATACCAGACATAGCTGGAAAAAAAATGCTATGGGTTAGGCCACAATAGTAGGACTTGCAAGAAAAATAAGCAAATTGTGCTTGTTCCATATAAAAATACAACATAAGAGCTACTTAAACAGGTCAGTTAGACTACCAAAGTCCAAGTGGTACCAAAAGAAGGGTAATGTTCTACCAGGGGAGGCCTAAGGGGTTTGTGAATGGTAGCAAAAGTCGAACTACAACAAAGATTAAAAAGAGCTCATAAAAATAAGAAAAAAAGTTGATGTGATTATATATAAATAATTATGTGATTTAAGAATGTCTTTATTTCTATCAGGGGAGGCCTAAGGGGTTTGTGAATGGTCGCATAAGTCAGACTACAACAAAGAGTAAAAAGGATGATAAAAATAAGAAAAAAGTTGATGATAATGTGGAACACTATGCCAATATGGAACAACCAACACATGCTTCAGGTTTAGACAAGTATTGTGAGTGGGATGTTGAAACATTGGAAGAATTGATCAGTAATGAAGATGTCTTGGACATTCAACCTATAAGTATTAACACATCACCTATCAAGCCAAGTGCATCAAAGTCAGATGTTGTCAGTATTTTCTTTGGTAAAAAACCAAAAGCTTGTAAAAAATGCCTTCAAACCACCAGGTGTTGTGAAGATTTCTTCACAAAAGCCTAGTTGTAGTGATCTTGTGAGTATATAAATATTATGTGCGTATTCCTTCTTATGATTATCCCTTCTCGTGTCTATTCCTTCTTATGTCAGGTCAAGAGAATGATACCAAAGAACATATTTAAGAAAATTTTCGATTTAACAGGTGCAATAAGACAAAGTGATAAGCTAAGGACCCGAAAAATAAGAGACATGGTTGGCCTAAGTAAAAAACCTGATGATCCAAAAGTGATTACTGAAGAGGAAACCACAGTAGATGTCATTAGTGGTGCTAGGATATCAAAAAGCTAGAAAGACATTATCAATGGCCTAACTCAATGAAGACTATACTGATATTTTAAAGATATTTATGTTTTGCATATGTACTATCATATGTATTGTCATATGCTGATATTTTAAAGATATTTATGTTTTGAAAATATTTGAATGGTGTTGTATCACCATCATTTCATATGTATTGTGATTTATTATGTTTTGATATGCACTGTCATGGAATGTAGCAACTACTTTTATTTGTAATGTAATGAATTGAGCAAATACTTTAACAATTTTGTTTGGCCATACTATGTACTGTAATGAATTGAACAACTATTTTGATATGTACTTTAACAATTTTGTTCGGCCATGCTATGTACAAATATGTCAAAATAATGCCAAAAAATAGGTCATATCATGTCCAAATTATAGGCCATACTATATCCAAAATATAGACCACATTATGTACAAAATATAGGCTACCTCATGTCAAAATTCCTGCCTAGTTTATGTCAATATTAATCCATGCAACATTACATTACTAAAACACCATTTGAACAACATTTCATAAACAATTAAACAACATTACATTATTGAACAACATTTGAATAACATTACATTATTGGAACAATATTTTAACAACATTAGATTTTAATATATTCCTCAATATTTACATTTCATTAACAAGTACATGTTGAGCATAAACAAAAATACAATACATATTGACTTCAATTTTCAAGAAAATGCCTCTGACTTCATCTTTATCTACAATTTCTTGTTCTTCTTCATTAAAGATTCATACAACTCCTTCAACATTTCAAGAGTTTTCATCTCCTTCGTATTGCTTCTATCTTTGCTCCAATCTTCATCTACAATTTCATAAAAATTCTCTCCCAATTCTATGTCTTCATCCCACGTGAATAAATTGTAAGTTTCCTCACTTTGCCAAAACGAATATCTCTAGAAAAACCTTCCTTTGTTAGGTCTGTTCTTGCAATGGTATGATATCCTACGACCATTACACACACACCTTCTTCTTCCTGGACGTTTGCTCATAATTGTGGAAAGATAAGTAACTGATTTGTTTCGTCGTGATGAAGATGACATTTGAGCAGGATTCGGGAACGAGTTGCAGTGAAGAAGAAGATTGGAATGATTTGTAGTGAAGAAGAAGAATGGAACGAGTTGCAAAACATGAATGAAATAGGAAAGAAGAACGTGAATTTAGAGTTTTATTTTAAAGAGGAAACAGTGATTGAAACATACATAAAAGATAATTTAAAAATGATATCCAACGTCATTATACCATGTGTCACAAAAAAAATATAATTTGGACCTCCACGTAGTCAACTATTAAGTCATTTTAGTGGGAGGAGCCAAATTTATGAAGAATTTTTTTTAAAAGAACTATTATTTAAAAACAAAATTAAAGAGATTAAAATCAAATTATGAGATATCTCTAAACACCTCTAACATATTTAATCCCAAAAACAAATAAATATTTAAACTTAAATATACTTGTAAATAAATATACCAAAATTATAGAGACTTCTAAAAAGAGTACAATTTAATTTCTTATAATAAATAAATAAATAAAAGAAGCTAGACAAATCAAAGTTCAAAATTTGAGACTTAGAAAAAAACATTTCTTTTTATTAAACGTCTTTTCTTAAAAATAAGAATTTAAAATAATTATATTTTTTTTATATACTATCTCTGTTTTTTATTATAAGTCGTTTTAAAAAAAAATTATACTACAATATAAATCGTTTTATAATATCAACGAATCATTAATTTTATTTTTTCTATTATATCATTAAATATTTACTATTCTTTCTTTTTTTAATTATGTAAATTTGTTTTTCCATTATCATTAATAAAGAATAATTTTGTAAAATCTTTCATAATTTCTCTTTTCCATCCCACTATATTTCTTGATGTGTAAAAAATTAAAAACCATTATTAAATAATTACTTAGATTACATAATTAATCTATACAATATATAAAGGGAATACTTTGTTTTGGTGTGGCCTATTTTTCTACCATTTTTACCCTTATTTTATTGTGTAATTTACTTAATAACTTTCTATTATTAACTTTCACATAACTTATTATTTTTAACTTCCGCATAACTTCTTATTATTAACTTTCACATATTATATTTTTTTAAAAATTATTTTTAAAAAAATTGTTTATATTTTTATACGCATTAAAAAAGCGGACAAACGGGCATGCCCGTCTAGACACTAGTTATATAATAAATATAAAAAGTAAATTTTTTTTCTTATAAATAAAACCAAAAAAAAGAGTATATATTATTAAATATAAATATCAATTTCTGCTAATTGAGCTGAAATTTGCAGACAAATTAAAAAAAAATCTATAAATTAAATGGTAATAATTATTAAAAACTCGCATTCTGCTAATTGAGTCATGATATTGATGTTCAACTTAACAATACCGACTTTTACTAAATGAGTTGGCCGGAAAAATTAGAACTTTATTCAAACATTAATTGTAGTTGAATTGGTTATATTTGCAAATTGAAATGCACTAAATAATTAGCAACCTTTGAATGAGATTTTATTTTGGTAGTGGGGCTGCTTGACCCTCTCCATACCTATGATTCAATGAAGTTTCCTTATTGTATCATTCAAATCCGACAACTAGTGAGTAATACTTGAAAAGAAATTACATCTTAGTTTCCTTTTTAGGGGAAACATTTTATCATGTTTTTTGTTTTTGCATTATTTTATTTTCATATCATGTTTCATCCATGCCTTGTCACTTTCAATTGCTCCCTAATTGCCTAACTCAAAGGTGACATCATAAAATGCGGTTTTTGTCTCGTTAATACAGGTCAGATGATAAAAAATACATAAACATTTCAACCGATTAACTAAAGAGATCAATTTCAACATCCACTTACATGACTCGAGTTTTAAATGGAATTCGAACCTGAGACATTGAGAAGAGTGCACTGAGGTAGAAAGGAGAAACTCGACAAAACATTAACCTAACCTCAAAGATTGTTGTCATTTTCAAATAACAAATTTTATATTTGATGAATTGAATAGACTAACAATAATGTACCAAAATGTCATTCTAATGAACATCACATGTGATGCATTACAACAAATGTCTACCTCAAACTATGAACTTCAAAAGCCAAATTCATATGAATTGGTTACAAAATAGGTTACAATTCTACCAAACGGATGGATCTAGAAACTCCAACTATGTCATTAACTGTTTTACATATCTCTCACAAGAATATCTCTCATCATTTGTATTGGTATAAGCCCTTCAGTTCTGATAGCATCTTTATTTGGATCAGGACTTATGAAGAACAGGGTTGGCAACCCTCTAACCTGAAATACATGAAAAATTCAAATTCCAATAGTATCGGCAAAGTTTCGTATTATTCTGATAAGTCTTCAATTTATTTCGAGTAGGTACCAGAGCTCTCTCCTCAAAAGCAAATTCAAACATGTATGCAGCTTAATGTTCGAGTATGAAGCACAGACACCCCGAATAAGACCCCGACACTGACACGATAACACCGATAATAATTTGAAAAAATGAATAAATTAAACGTAATCACAAGTGTCGGTACAGGTGTCCGAGACCGACACGGACACAGACACGTTTTTTTCAGAAGTGTCGGTGCTATATAGCAATTCAAGTCACTTTCACCTGAAGTTTTTGAACACGCATCACTTTAGCTTAAACTTGTTTTTAACTAAAATAAGTTATACAAAATCAATTAAATCAAAAATAAACTTCTGCTACTGTAAAACCAGAATCACAGTAAGTTAAACAGGACTAAAATGAGAATTGCAAGTTCACAAGTAATTGTTATAGAAAGTTTACATGATGCGGTATGGATCTTTAGTTCTTAAACAAGTATATGTAAATGTATGCGTTGGAAACAAAACAAGATTATTAACATTACCTGCATGTCGCGCGCGAATTCATACTCGTCATCTGTATCAACCTTAACAATCATCACATTTTCGTCGAATTCGACTGCAAGCTGCATAAATTTATTGAAGGTTACTTCTGAGTTTTCAAATCAACTACTATCATGACTAAAATTGGAGGATATACTCTCGAATTAATAACTATAATATCGATAGAAATATGCTATCCTGAAAGAAAAAATAACTGAAATTAACATAAAATATACAAAGCTTGTTATATTGTTAAGTCCACCCTGTGCCGTTCCATAAAGTACTTGCTACCGCTCTAGTCAAACGTACTCTCTTACATTCATTACCTCTGGTTCCAGTGCGGAATAGATTCTATAATTGCTAAGCCTCTTGTATATATAGACTTGTAATTCTCTTATGAAAAAGTATTAGATTTAAGTTGGTAACAGAGCAATCTGGTTTGCTCCATCTGTTTTGTTTTTGGGTTTCAGCCGCCACGATTTTCTGAAATTCACGATTTTGATCCTCCTGTTTTATTTTTCACAAGTTTGACCCCTCCACATTATATTTTCTACAATTTTGGTCGTCAATTTTAATGATTTTTGGCACTTTTAGTCTCCAAAAGAGGACCAAAAGTGTTAAAAATTCTCAATATTGAAGGACCAAATTCATAAAAGTAATATGTATGAGGACCAAATTCGTTAAAAAATAATACTACATTTTCATTGATCAAAATGATTTAAATAAATGCAGTCAAAACAAAGCTGGTATCTTCAGTTTCAAATTTGAACATCTTCAATGTTTTATGACCCTTCTAAAAACTCGATAACCGCAGCTGTTGGAAGTTTTTAGCATAGCAGTTAGAAGTAAAAACACAGCCAAACCAAGTAGGACTCATGGAACATAATTTGCAGGTTATCCTCAAAGATTTTCCATTCCATGTTAGAATGCAAATGACATATAACACAACAAAAAAGGTTCAAGCAAATGAACTTAGAAACCAAATTTTGCAGAGTTGTCCAAGTAGTGTGCAAGATGAGTCTCTTTTGGTTTCTACTTTTCACTGCACGTCTTGCAATAGCATCTTCTCTTGTGGAATTTGAAGGCATGTATCTCAACCTTTTGAGGTTTCATTTTTCTGATATTAGAATGATTAGATTTTAAATTTTGTTTAACCACATATGTATACTAAACTTGCAAACTGTTGATTATGCAGATAGTTTATTAACTCACAAGCATGGCGGCGTGCATCTCAAATTGCATCATGTCAGAATTCTCAAGTCATCTCCGAAATCCAAATCATTTTTATTCTCTGACATGTTCGCGAAAGATCAGGAGCATGTCAGGTACCTTCATTCCAGATTATCAACCAATTCTGATTCCAAAAATAAAGTACCAAAACCAAAACTTGTCAGCATACCATTGAAATCAAGTTTATCAATAGGTTCAGGGAATTATGTTACAAAAATAGGACTTGGTAGCCCTACAAGGTACTATAGCATGCTTGTAGACCCAGGTAGTTCCTTTTCATGGCTCCAATGTCAGCCTTGTACTATATACTATCATGCACAAGATGATCCTATTTTCAATCCTTCCTCGTCTAATACCTATAAAACTTTACCGTGTTCGTCCCCTCAGTGTTCTTCTCTCAAATCTTCAACACTCAATGAACCGAGTTGTTCAAAAGTATCTAATGCTTGTGTCTACAAAGCAAGTTATGGTGATTCATCTCTCTCACTCGGTTACTTGAGTCAAGACGTGTTAACCATAACACCGTCAGAGAGACTACCGAATTTTGTATACGGATGTGGACAGGATAATCAAGGTTTGCTTGGAAGGATCTTCAATGTTTTATGACCCTTCTAAAAATTCGATAACCGCAGCTGTTGGAAGTTTTTAGCATAGCAGTTAGAAGTAAAAACACATAGCCAAACCAAGTAGGACTCATGGAACATAATTTGCAGCTTATCCTCAAAGATTTTCCATTCCATATTGGAATGCAAATGACATATAACACAACAAAAAAGGTTCAAGCAAATGAACTTAGAATCAGTCACTGATTATTTATTGGCCTTATGTTCCGAGTCTTTCGCTGGACGGATGTTGATGTTGTGGGTTACGGGATAGTTGTATTTGACTAACTCAAAATTCCGAAACCAAAACATGCGACAAGTCATTCACAGAAAAGCAATGGTTAACCATTTTCAGAATCCACATCAAATTAACTAAAACTCATACCATTTCAAGTTCTTGCGCCATTAAGATACACGGCCCGCACCACGTCGAGTAGAAATCAATAACAATAGGAACATTTCTTTCTCCTTTCACCAGCTCCTGAATTTCCTCAGCTGAAAACTTTTTCTGCAAAACCCAAAACAAAAACAATCAACGAAAAAAGAAAGATTCAATTTTTTTAACCTAGGATTCATGAGAAGAAAAAAGAGCAGAAACCCAAAATTAATATGAAGTACCATACCACGAGATAGTCATCTCTGACATGTTTTCCTTGAGGTGGTTTGCAGAGCAATTTTTTAGGGGGTGTAGAGACAAAAAGAGGTGTATTGTTGAAGTGAGTGGTTGTAGAGACAATTGAATGAGGTGGAGATATAGAGAGAGGTTTGGATGAGAAGGGTGAGAGAGTGGATAACAGTGGAAGAGTGTAGGAATGGAAGAGAGCCATGGATGAGTTTGGAGAGTGTGAGGAAGAAAAAGAGGGTTTTTGAATGAAGGGGTTTATGATATCTATCTATCTTATGTATTTAGAATTAGATAAAGTTTCAGTATGTCTGCATAGGTTACTAGTTACAGTTAGTTACTGTGTTTTAGATTTTACCTCAGTTTCAATGTGTATATTTGTATATCTTTAAAATACAACAATTTGTGAATTTTTTTTAATATAACCAAGTTTTTCAAATTAATTACCAACATTATATGCACCATTGCTATGTTTATCTCTATTGCTCAATCCACTCTCAAATCTGAATCCATTTCTTGCACTTAACCTGTTTGATATATTGCTTGTTTAGTAAGAAAAATAAAAAGTAAGAGAAACTAAGTAGTTTTTTTAATGGGCTTTGCTGGTTTTAATTCATAAGAGGGTAGTGGTGGTAGTAGTAAGACTAGTAATCATGGAGGAGAACAAGGTTCATCATGTTCATGGAGGTTTTTAACAAGGAGGAAGAAGGTTAATCCTCATGTTGAGGACAACAACAACAACTCTCATGGAGTACAACTTGCTAAGGAGTTAACTATTCCTCATCTCATGGCAGTTGGTAATTCAACTAACTACTTTCAATCATGTTTTTCATAAGGGTGTTGATACGTAAACACATGTGTCTGTTTTCGATTTTGTCTTCCTTAGTAAATTGGCTTGATTGAATTTAAAGTAAATATCATCTGATGCAAAGTGTTGATATGAGATAGACATTTATGTGATTATGATAGGATGCTAAAATGAAACCCTAAAAAAAGTATGAAAAACACTAAAATTAAGAGAAGGATAAAACTAAACTAAATAAAAATAAAGACTTTCATTGATTTCTTTGATGATCTTTCATCTCATATGAGAGTACATATATAATATCACTAATAGATAGTAGAATAAAGGCTCAATGACTAAAAGCTCAACTAAACAACAAAAATCCAACTAATAAAATTTCTACTTCTAAATTTAATAATCAAATTACCTAAAATTAACTCCATGATCTTATCATTACCTACCCCTTCAAAATCAACTTTGTCCTCAAGGTTGTAAAACTTCATTGTTGCAATAACTTTCTTGGATCTTCAACTTTAACATCCACCTACAAAGCCCATTTTCATCCAATCCAAGAAAAGAAGAACAAAAGGATCTAACTGAGAACTTTTACTATCATTTGTGATATCTCTCATTGTAATCTCAGTACCATCCTTACCAAATTTCCATTCTGTCACAACCTTCCTTGTCTCAATATCAAATTGATGAAGCCCTGTTGAATGCAGCTTATTTTCATTCAATGAACTCATCAAAAGCATTTTGGTTTCAGCTTTCATGAGAAGTGTTTTCTTGGAAGTCGATGGCACCAATTTCGAAGTAGATCTTGAACCATCACCAAAATTCACAAATGCACCTTTACCATGAATCCCATGTGTGAAATTCTTCACGACTTGAATATCATTTTTGCCAACAAGAAAACTGTTATCTAGAGCACCCATCGCCAGGCTCTGAATCCCACCATTTAACGCCTCCTCAAACTCCTCTTTCAAACATACTAGTGATTCATGAATCACAAAGAATTTTCTTGTGTAAAACGGACTATCTAACAACAGTTTAATATAATCTGGTAGGGAAATAACACTATCATGGCTAAAGGCACTTCTCCATGGATAAATAAGTTGTTTCCAGCCCCTGCTAACTAGTACTATTGACAGCAGCTCAATAAAAACTTTTTGATGAATGAAATTAGAGAAAAATGACCCTTTTGTCAAACCATTACGAGAGAAAACAAAAAACAGTAATCTCTCAAACAGTTCGCATGCAAGAACAATACTTTCATGTGTTGTTGTGACATCCTTACAAACACCCTCTTGCAAATCAATGCCAACTTTGGAGTTTCCTGATGCATGTTCTGCATAGAGAGAAGATATAATCTCCATTGCATTTAGCCCACCATTCTTAGCCAATGTTCTAGGAACCATCTCAAAACATTCAGCAAATTTGGCTATAGCATACTGACCCAATCTTGTCTCCTTAAAAGAAAATTCTTTCACCCTCTTAGCTAACTCAATTCTAGTTGCAGCAGTTTCAGGCACAATACGGCTATCCCTGCACATGGCCTTGTAACTGTTCACTTTATCATCAACTGCACTTTCAATATCATCAAGTATACTATCAGTACTTCCTCTCAAGACAACAGTTGAAACAGAATTGCCACCTTCTTCCTTTTTAACAATGGTAACCCTTGCACCACCAATTTCCTAAACTAAAATCGAATCGACATATCCAAGATCATCTGGATTTGGTTGAATAAGCTTCGACATAGCAACAACACCGATTGTATGAAAAAATCGATGCAGTTCAAACTTAGAACTAATTTTCAGAACCATAAGCTTATAAACTCACAAAAATGTAAAGCCAACTCTCCTACTTCCTTGATGAGCTCCTCAACTTTATCCTCTTTAGTTTTTGAAGAATTCTCTAGCTGCTCAGCTAAATGTATGAGAACAGTTCCCTTAGTTTCAGTTATAGATGTATCAACGCCACCTGCAAACACAACAACCTTTGCCTTTTCCATTCTCTTTATACTACCAACAATATCATTTCTCAGAATCATTCGCCGAACAACTGTACTGTTACGCAACCCTCCTCTCAAGAGTTTTGCAACATGAACATTGTCCACATTAAAGTTTACATAATTTTTTGGACACACTTGAATACATGCACCAGCAACAAGAGAGCATATAGTATCTTCTTGACCGAATTGCTTGCTGGAAACAACTGCTTTTATTCGAGAAACCACTTGCTCCTTATCAAATACATTCATATTATCTGAACCTTCCTCAACAAGTTTGTCCAATTTTTCAACAGTCTTATTAATAGCTTTGGTATATCCATTAATAATCTCACTAGGATGCAAACCCCTCCTAATAAGCTCCTCAGCACTATGAAGCAACTCGCTTGCAAAAGAAATAGTCAAATTAGCAATACCCATATGGCGCATTTGCTTATCTATAGCAAGAACATCACCATAGGCATCACTTCTATTTGTTAGCAAGAATCGATCTCCAATTCGCTTAGTCAAATCAAGCATGTTCAGCGTTTCCACCACGTTATTCTTAATGGTCTTAATGGGTGTCAGAGGTATTTTAACAAACAACTTGTGAGTAAAAACAGAAATGTATACTTTGGGTGTGTAATAGCATTCATGTGCTTAGGTGTATTTATCCTTACATTTGCAGCTTCTTCTACACACTTTCTCAGGTTGGTTTAATGACAGATATTTCATTTTTCAACTTGCAAAAACATTGATCATTTATATATTTTTTGATGTTGTTTGTTATTAACAACAGTTCAGTTAGATTTACATTATGTGGAGTTGATGGCACTCTTGTTTTGTCTGGCCTTGTCTTTCTAACATGTATAGAACAAGATGATGCAAGACACATGTTTGGAAACTCTCAAGGTATAATATATGGTTACAATTATTTATGGTAAAATGAGTTTTGAAATAAAAATAATTCTTATTAATTTATTTTCAGGTTTCACATGTCCATTGGTGCCATTGCTACCTATAATTTCCATTCTTATAAATTCCTATTTACTTATTATTTATGTTTTCTATGGTCGAAACCATAGCTCTCTCAAAGTTGATGTGGCCAATTATATCCCTTCAAACTTTCTTGCTTAATTGTACAAGCCTAAGAAAAATATTTCCACTTCATTAGTGGTATACATGTAATCACTGTCCAGAAAATACAAACTATTTTATGGTTCATAGGTCATGGTCATGTCTTTTTTTCTTAGAGAAGAAGAAATAGATCATGTGAATGTAAGAAAAATATACTAAATTTTAGTTGTTGATATTTCAACCAACAATTTAAAATTGTTAATATGCATTTATATGTATAATTGTAATTATAGTTGTAATTGAAGATTTAAAAACTTATTACATTGAGTTTTTCTTAATGATATGTGTTATGGAGTGCATCTATTAATTCAAAGTATAGCTAAAAAAAATTAAAATGTTTTTTTTACAAGTATTGTAGTGGGTATCTCATGATTGAAGAGTATGAGAGATTAATATGTTGTTTTTAACTGCTGAAGATTCATCGTGTTCTGTTGTGAAATTAAAAATGATATATGCAACGAGAATGAGACTTGCTAGGGCGAGTTGGCGAATTCGTCTGGAACGAAGGCGAAAGCTTCTAGTATAGAGGCGAGAGCTTCCAATATAATAGAGTGAAATGGATCTACAAAATTATTACTCAAACGCTCAAGTTAATAAACGATGAAAGAGAAGTGATAATACGAGTGAAATCATACATACGAGTAACTTGTGGTGGAATTTATATATCGAAAATAGTTAGAACCGTTTGGTATTCCCCGACATGAGATGTAGGAAACTGTCTTGTAAAATGTGATGGTGGACGATTCTTGGTCGGTAGGGATTAAGTGTTGGACTCTTCAACATTGTTATACGTGATCCTTAGTTGCTCTGCTCTGTGGAGGTTTCTTTTTGGTCGGACTCTCCTGTGATCGGACTTTTTGTCTTTTAGGCCTTTAACCGATTCAGAACAGTTGTCCCACAAAGTTATGCTATTGCATAGTAATGTGAAGGTTTGAGATTACTAGGTTGCCTTCGTCTGCCGTCTTGGTCTTCCGAGCGGGCTCACTGTGTTTGTAATTATAAACACTTTATGAATATTTATTTTTGATCTTGCTTTATGATTGATGTTGTTTTTCCTTCCTTGCACCTATGATTACTGTTCATTATTTATCTTTGTGAAAGATTTTATTTTACCATCTCATGTCTTGAATGATTTATTTCATCATTATGTGCCGCTAATAATTTTATTTCATCATTTATCACTTTGAACTATTTTGTTTCATCATTCTATGTCTTGAATGATTTTATTTCATTATTATGTGTTGTCAATAACTTTGTTTCATCATTGTTTTGGCGTGGTAGCCCTACTCACGGA